CTATAATGGCGCTGACGATCCGCAGTTCCTCGTTCTCAGGCAATTACCTGTCCGGTAGGCACGGCTGTGACCATTATTACATCCTGATGCACACTATCTCTGCGTTTCCATCATTGCTCACCATCATATCCGTAGTCCTGTCCTTCGGGGCATCCGCAAAATTGGAACGATACAGACTCTGAGCAGATTAGCATGGCACCTGCGCAAGGATGACACACATGAATTGAGAAATGGTCCATGTCAGTAGGCCTCACACAAACGATGTCGATTCTTTAACAAATTGCTAGAAACCATGGACCGCCGTCTTCACCCGAATAGAACGCCTGGTCATTCTTGCCGCACCTGGACAGAAAGTTGCACCAAATACAGCTATAATGACCAGGCGTTCTATTCGGATGAAGATGGTAGTATCCTCCCATCTGCACAGATTACAGAGGGACAGAGCTGGAGCTGGAGCAGGAGGGAGGGTTGCACTGAATCTTCAATCATGCTGCATTAATCCAACTTACAAAGCACGCAGCTTCATGACTTCGAGCCCAACGCACACCTGTTCTTCAAGCAATTTATTGATCAACAATCAACCAATCGACCAATCAAAAGAGTAAGGCCATCCATACCTTAGTCTAATTAACCAATCAACCAATCAACCAATCAACCAATCAACCAATCAACCAATCAAAAGAGCAACAAAATAGTTAAAACATCAAGGGGATGAATGGCTGAATGTGTGTGTTAAGGAGTAAGGAGGACATCCATACCTTAGTCTAATTAGCTGTCTGTAATCGTCTCATGGTGACGAGCACCCAGCAGAGAAATACTCATGCTCGCATTTCTATCATGCATTGGAGACCCACTTTGGTAGTCAGGTGTGCATCATGGGGTTGCACCCACCTGTCCCCCAAGCTGCAGAGGGGTCACACAAATGCATGCATGCGCCCTCTAGAATCCGTCGCACACGAGTCCAACAGAGCAAGACATAGCAGACAGACAGCGTAGGGTAGCAAGCAAGGAGCTAAACAAGAAAGAAAGAAAGAAAGAAAAAGAAAAAGAAAGAAAGAAAGAAAGAAAGAAGGAAAGAAGAAGAAGAAGAAGAAGAAGAAGAAGAAGCAAGGGGAGCTACTGTACTTAGTGAGAATTGCATTGCTATCTTTTAGAAGGTCGAGAACAGTTCACCCGATACAGATAATACTACCTTTCTTCCCCCGAACATAACGCATATGTGTTCTATTCCAGTTTCTGAATTTGAAAAAAAAGAAATCGAGTAGAACGCGTATGCGTTATATTCGAAAATAGGGGTTATTAGAATAGCACATGTGTTGTATTCGA